ACTGCCTGTATGGGGGGCTCACAGACGGAATGTCCTGTTACAGACTCCCTGTATGGGGGCTCACAGATGGAGTATCCTGTTACAGACTCCCTGTATGGGGGCTCACAGATGGAGTGCCCTGTTACAGACTGCCTGTATGGGGGCTCACAGACGGAATGTCCTGTTATAGACTCCCTGTATGGGGGCTCACAGATGGAATGTCCTGTTACAGGCTGCCTGTATGGGGACTCACATACAGAATGTCCTGTTACAGACTCCCTGTATGGGGGCTCACAGATGGAGTATCCTGTTACAGACTGTCTGTATGGGGGCTCACAGATGGAATGTCCTGTTACAGACTCCCTGTATGGGGGCTCACAGTTGGAGTATCCTGTTACAGACTCCCTGTATGGGGGCTCACAGATGGAGTGCCCTGTTACAGACTGCCTGTATGGGGGCTCAGAGTCAAAATGTCATGTTACAGACTGCCTTTATGAGGGCTCATAGATGGAATATTCTGTTACAGACCAAGTGTATGGGGGCTCACAGACGGAATGTCCTGTTACAGACTGCCTGTATGGGGGCTCACAGACGGAATATCCTGTTACAGACTGCCTTATGGGGGCCCAGATTTGGACTGTCCTTTTACACACAGCCTATGGGAGTCGACAAAAGTATGATGTGGGAATTTACCCCATAAGAAACATAGTAAATAAAGGTTCATGTGAACTAAGAGACAAATGCCAAACTGTTATTCTTTGTAAGAAAAAGGAATAATTCTTGATGGCAAACAGGGAGAATGAGAGTCTTTGTTTCAGTCTTTTTCAGTCACCACTGATCTAAAATTGCATCTTTATTTTAGATTATATGTTTTCTAAGTAACACGAAGTTACAATGTAGTGTCGAATTTAACTGTCGAATTACCATGGAACCCCACCAAAATAGAGTGTATGATGTAGCATCATTCTGTCATTCTAATCTGCAATAAGATATTAATCTTATAATCCTTTTGTTGATTATGAAACATTTTACTGCTTAACAAAGCAAATATGTGGTATTGGCGAACGAGTCCAGCACCTACGTTCAAGATTGGGCAGATTTACACCAGAAATCCCGCAGACGGCGACTACTTAAAGCACAAAAATGCAGTGATGACGCCCTCTGCTGTTAAGGTCTATTAGGGGAGTGTGTGTGTGTGGGGGGAGGGGGGTTGCATAGATCAGACCTGGGGACCAAAATGTCCCGACACCGTGGTATGCGTGTAAGGATGTGTGTGTGTGAGTGTATCTGTGTCTGTGTGAATCTCCCTTCTTCGGATTGTGTGACCTAAACTTCCCAGGAATGAAGCCAGCCAGCACAACTAGTGGCCAGAATGAGGTACTGCAGCAAGTGCCAATTTCCTGCCATGCGTGATCCTGCTTGGAGTCTGATTGGATGGGCCTCTTCTCAGAGCGAGAGCTCAGGGTGCGCCTCTGTAAGTTGCGCACAAGCTGGAGTGAATCTGTGCTAGAGGACAGAGGCCAGCTTTTTGTTGGTGGAGGAGCAGGTCCTCTCAGACCACATAAGTATTTAACCTACGCACACACACACACACACACATATGCTGGTCTTGCGTGTCACTTTCGACTTTAACACCTGTTACATTCAGTCGTTTCACGACTTGAACGCAGTAAAGGGGCCAGATCCTCAGCCGGGAGTTTCTGCACTGTGCCATGGTTTCCATTTGGTAGGCTGCTCCTTATCCAGATCCTCAGCCGGGAGGTTCTGCACTGTGCCATGGTTTCCATTTGGTAGGCGGCTCCTTATCCAGATCACCAGCCGGGAGGTTCTGCACTGTGCCATGGTTTCCATTTGGTAGGCTACTCCTTATCCAGATATGAAATCATATAGAAACAAAATAGTCTCTTGCCATGTTCATCAGCGCTGTCAGAACTGGCTGCGTTTTGAAACACTCACACTTTTATCTGCTCATCTTCAGCTTCATGTCATATAATAATAATGATAACAATAATAATAATAATAGTAATAATACTTATTATTATAACAATAATAACAATAACGTAATTGCATTTCATTTAGTATTGTTTTACAAATGCGTCTGTCTCCATGCTTGGCTGCTTGGCTCGCTCATCTTACACCCACTTGCAGAAAATGCCTATGATCTATTCCATATATTTTCAGCAAAAATGATGTCCCTAAAATACCAGAAATTCACCACACCACTTATTTTGCTGTGTATAATATTTTGAATAAGCCATTATAGCTGTTATTTTTGCCCGCGTGTTACGCATTTAGAAAAAGCATTTATAGATTAGTTAGACTGGGTGTTACAATCCCTCAAGTTCCTGTACTGCAATTGATGTAAGTGGGCCTGTTCTTGGGAATGACCACTAGATGGCGCTGCTACCATGACGACACACCCTCAGTTGTGGTTGGCCCTCTGCAGGCTTCTCAGACCTGGTCAGATCTTAGTCTCTAGATGCTCCTCTACAAGATCTTATCTTTGCAGCCTTTTCCATTCTACTGCCTCGTCCTCAGCCTCCTAACAGGGAACATCAGCTGAGTCATGCAGACGTCCTGGAAGAAGTTTGTTGTAGCAGTTTTGGACGGGAAGCTGAGTCCCTGGCCAGGTCGACGTGCATTTCCTAGTGCTGCCTGCATTTAGTGGGCATGTGGCGGGGGGTGCAGTCTTATCCCCCAGTTCCTCTCCTTCCCGGATGAAGGGGGCTGACTGTGGGACCATCGTCTGGACTTGGAGAGACACGGCACCCTGGGCTCAAGCTCGACTGCCAAACACCTCAGGTGTTTCTGCCTTGTATCTGGCTGGTCTTACGACCAACAAAGACGCACTTCAGGGTTGCTGGATCCGCACACAGAGGACAGGCTGGATAGAACGTGTTTTATTTAAGCCAAATATGAAATAGAATATAAAAAAATGATATTTGGTATAAATTAGTGAATTCTTACAGGTAAACATATGCCACAGCAACTGAAAGCAGTAATAAAAAACGGGGAATTTAATGCATTAATTCAGCACATACATAAAATTCCAACGTGAATATAAGGACCCTGACTTCAATATAGATGCTGGGAGTTTGCATGTTTGCTCCTTGTCTGCACTCTGCACGGCCCTCAGTATGCGAGCAGACTGACGTGCATCTCCTAAGGAGCCGTTTTGTGTGCGAGCCCTGCACGGCCCTCAGTATGCGAGCAGACTGACGTGCATCTCCTAAGGAGCCGTTTTGTGTCTCGCCAGGCGTACATACGAAACTCACTTTTA